ACACCACCCCCCCCCCCCTCCCTTTACAAAAGGAAGAAAAGGAAACCAACAACAACAACAACAACAACAAAGACTTATTTATATTCAATTCAATTCAATTGAATTCAATTCATCCATTTGCCAATCGACTTTTTTTCTCCGTGAGTCACTGAGTGGTTGTGTGGGTGTTTGTTTGTCAGCAAAACATGGACGTGGCGTTTGATTTATATACGGCGGTTATTCCTGTAGATCGTAACGCGTTATCCCATCAATTGTTTGTTTTTTGGTTAATTCTCACTACTGGCGGCATATTTCTATACCTTTTATGCGCATCCATTTCAACTTTTATCTTCTTTGTGGTTTTTGAAGAAACGTATTTTCCCCACACGATGGATAAAAAGAATCAAAAACATGAATTACGACGACAAATGTTACATGAAATATTTATTGCGGTTCTTTCTATTCCTTTTATGGCAATACTTATGGCCCCTTCTTCTACCCTTGCTCACCGTGGGTACAGTAAAATATATTACAATGTTTCTGATTATGGATGGCCGTATCTTTTTCTTAGTATATTGATGTTTTTTATCTTTACGGACTTTATGGTATATTGGTTTCATCGTGGTTTACATCACCCAACATTATACCGATACCTTCATAAATTACATCATACATACAAATATACAACACCATTTTCATCTCATGCATTTAATCCTTGTGATGGATTTGGTCAAGGTTCACCATATTACGCATTTATTTTTTTATTTCCTATGCATAATTACCTTTTTGTTATTCTCTTTTTCGCTGTTAACCTATGGACAATCTCTATTCATGATCAAGTAGACTTTGGAGGTCATTTTGTGAACACAACAGGACACCATACAATTCATCATGTACTTTTTAATTACGACTATGGACAGTACTTTACCGTATGGGACCGTATTGGCGGAACTTATAAACCCGCACAACAGACGCATCTTTTCCCATTATTTACAAAAGGTGGACGCATTGAAGAGGTTGAGTCAACGAAGAAGATGGGATAAAAAAAAAAAAAAGAAAGAGTAAAAAAGGGAGGTTACGGTGCAGATATATTAAATATAATGTAAATGCATGCATGCATGCACATACACATTATATTTTGGATTATGTGCAAGGAGGTGGACAGGCGGCTTATATCTATCTATCTATCTATCTATTTATATCTATCTATCTATTTATATATATGAGAAATTATTATCATTGTTATTGTGGACGAGGAAGCAGAGGAGAATGGGCTGCGGAAGATGGCTAGGAAGAAGAAGAAATAAATAAATAAATAAATAAA